CAAATAGACTAATATTTGAAGTTAAATTACATTATGGACAGGAAAATAATATGCATGTGAAGCTGCCAAGTAACTGGCTCTTTTGTTATGATCTACATTTGCCATTGATGAACTAATAAAATTGGCAAGTGTGCATGGATTTGTCAAAATAGGATGGCTAGTGGGTCCCACATATATTCACATTATATAAACACATAATATTTTCACAAATGAGAAACCAATCAGAAGTAATTAGGCATCTCATCTTTTCCTCTTTTTCTTAAAGAACAGAGTAAGGCTAAAAGAATATCACTTTTGATCTTCGCTTTTAATTTAATACCAGTTGTTAGGATTAAACGGTTATTATCATATCAAAAACTATGAACTTAAACGCTTTCTTTTACTAAAGAAACATTTATGTTTGATTTGCCATAGTTGAATTGTTTTTCTGTTTGATACATTAATTGTTTTATATTATAACTATATATAATAGTAAACCAAAATTGATTAGAGGTAAACTTAATTGGTGCAGATTTAAGGATTGAAGAGTACAAATGGGAGCTGGTGGAAATATGTCTACTCCAACAACTAAAAATGAAAAAAAGAAAAGTCATCTCCAAAGAGTTCCATCTTCAAAGCCCCCTTTTACACTTGGCGATGTCAAGAAGGCCATTCCTCCTCACTGCTTCCAACGTTCTCTTATTCGCTCCTTCTCTTATCTTATTCAAGATCTCATACTTGTCTCCATCTTCTATTATATTGCCAACACTTACTTCCACCTCCTTCCATCCCCATTAACTTACCTTGCGTGGCCTGCTTATTGGATCGCGCAAGGTTGTGTTTGCACTGGAATATGGGTCATTGGACATGAATGTGGTCATCATGGCTTTAGTGATTACCAATGGGTCGATGACACTGTTGGTCTTATCTTCCACTCTGCACTTTTAACACCATACTTTGCATGGAAACATAGTCATCGTCGTCATCATGCCAACACAGGTTCCCTTGAGAATGATGAAGTTTACATACCTAGGTTTAAATCCAAACTAAGATGGTACTATAAATACTTGAACAATCCATTAGGACGAGTATTCGTACTTGCCTTCACCCTCACTTTTGCCTGGCCTTTATACTTGATGTTCAATATCTCTGGCAAAAAATATGAGCGTTTTACATGTCACTACGATCCAAATAGCCCATTATATTCTAACCGTGAGAGAATGCAAATCTACATTTCAGATGCAGGTGTGATTGCAACTACTTATGTATTATACCGCCTTGCTATGACACAAGGGCTAACTTGGGTTCTATGCATCTATGGAGTGCCTCTCCTAATTGTGAATGGATTTATAGTGCTGATCACTCTTATGCACCACACTCATGCTTCATTGCCACATTATGATTCATCGGAGTGGGATTATCTAAGAGGAGCTTTAGCTACGGTAGATAGAGACTATGGTATACTAAATAAGGTGTTCCACAATGTTACAGATACTCATGTTTTGCATCATATATTCTCATACATATCACATTACCATGCAATGGAAGCGACCAAAGCGATTAAGCCATTGCTAGGAGAATACTACCAAGTTGATGATACCCCAATTATAAAGGCAATGTGGAGGGATACAAAGGAGTGCATCTATGTGGAAAAAGACGAAGGATCTCAAGGTAGAGGTGTTTATTGGTATAAAAACAAGCTTTGAATGCATTCGTTCAGAATTGTTAAATGTTTACCTAAGAAGGTGCAAGTATATTTTGAATTGGGTGTTTTTGTTGTATTTTATTGTTAATGTCACTAATATGTATTGTTAAATCCGTCATTATGCAATAAAATAAATAGCTACTTTTGTAGCAATATTCAATTTGGTATGAAATGAAAAATGGGAAGGAATTGTTAACTAGGGTTATATAGTGTTGACAACTTGACTCTTTGCTAAATATTGGGCAGGTCGAATGATTTGCTACTCATGACAAGGGCATCAATAGCTAGCCCCAAAATATAACAGAGGATACTTATATTTCTTATAGTAGAGTACACAACTCAAGTGTTAGAAAAATACGGAGTACTATATATATGTTTCACTGGTGAAGAATAAATCTATTTACGACTACTACATACATACATATGAATCGATTTGATTTACAACTCAAATAATGTATACTAATAATTTAACATGGATATATAATTAAGCTGTCAACACTATATGTGGCTGATGAAATTAAGATGTTAATAGAGTGCAGAGGATCTGTTATTAACATCTCTTCAGTTGCTACTCGGAGGTCTTGCTTATGCTGGCTTTTCACAATCGAACCAAACCAATTATATATACAGATACTTGGCCTGGTTAAAAATCACTTGTTGATGACATTTTATTTTCTACATCAATAGACTAACTGATGTATTATCGAACTGTCCATTTAATTTCTTAATTCTCTGTTATTCAAATAATCGGGAGTAATGGCCAAGTGTAAAAGGAGGTTTCGAAGATGGAACTCTTTCGAGAGGATTTTTCTTTTTTGAATCTTTAGTTGTTGGACAAGACATATTGCCACCGCCTCCCAATTTCAATCCCAAAATCTGCACCAATTAAATATGAAAATGTGTTAAACATAAATTAAAACAATTCAACCATGTCAAATCAAACATAAATGTGGAAAGAAAAACTTTAAAGTTCATAGCTTTTAATATGATAATAAGCGTTTAATTCTAATAAATGGTATTAAAGTCTTACTCTGTTCTGGGAAAAAGAGAAAGAGATCAAATGCCTATTGAGTGGTTTCTCGCTGTGAAAATAATGTGTGTATGTGGGACCCTCATTGCCAATTTTATTAGTTCATCATTGGCAGATTTAGATATCTGCACAACAAAAGAGCCCATAGGCTTGGCAGCTTCATGCACATAGTTGTGTGTAAAGATTCCAATTTTATCTTAATTTGTGTAGTTGTCTGATTAACAAATTTATAATGAGATCCAATATATGTTTTGGTAATCAATTTTTAGCTAATTTTGGTTTGTGTACTTTAGGAAAAAGGATTGAAGTAGAGCTGTCAAAATGGACTTGGAATCAAGGTCGGGTTAGGTTGCTTTTGTGTAATTTTCTTGGAGGGACAACTTAATAGTAAATGACCCTCTTTTTATTCATACCATAAATTAGGGACCTTTTAAATTATGATTTAAAGATTTCTTTTGAACAAACTGGAATTTATTAGTTATTACAAACATTGGACGAAATTTAACATTTTGTCGGTAAGGTTGAGCAACGTATGAACAAACATATTGTGATCCGAAAGGATAAGTTTTCAAAATAAAACAATACGACTTATCCCTATATAGTAACTCACAAGCACATACACATTGTTGTAATGTCCAAAAGACTCTTTTAATCATGGTTTACTTTGACATCTATGTATAAGTATTCCTTCATATTCAAAGGTTTTTATGCAAAATTTCGCTCTGATATCTCCTAAAGCGAACTACGCATGCACACAAATACTACAAGAAATTCGAGTTTCCATGACGACTCATAAATAGCCTAAAAAAGATTATTCTGACTATCCGTAAATCGCCTAAAAGTGAAATACTTTTTTTTTCTCCCTACCCGTACTCAAAAAGGATGTTCTTGCTTTATCCTTTAGTATGACTCAAACCCTCAATCTACCAGTTGATAGTGAAGATGCTCAACCACTTGAGCAAGTCTCACTTATCATAGCTAATCCTAGAATTGTTCTATCACATTGAATTTGGTATAAAAATAATACAGGGAGTTTTTACAATATAACTATATATTCTAGAATTAAAAATAGATAACCAAACACGAAACAAAACAATACAATTTGTTGTACCATTATTATTTTATACTCTCTCCGTTTTAGTTTGTTTGTCCTATATAACTTGACATAGAGTTTATGAAAGTAAAAAAAAAATTTGAATTTTGTAGTCTTAAGTAAAATGTATGTTTAATATATCAAAATGTCCTTTAATCATATGGTTTTAAACATGACATGAAAGAAAAATTAAAATAAAAAAGTTATCGAAAAAGGGAAGTGACATGTAAAAAAAAAATATTAAAAAGAAAAAAAATATTGATAATAATAATATTGATAATAATAATAACGATAATAATAATAATAATAATAATAATAATAATAATAATAATAATAATAATAATAATAATAATAATAATAATGACATTAACTCAATTAAAGCTAAATATTCTTGCGGCAATAAATATTATCACTAAAGGTAAAATATGTTGTCACTAAATGTCTCTCTGTTGTAGTATGTATTCATTCAGTTTAGGTAGAGTTTCACATGCACAATAAATCATCCATGACGATCCATTTAGACTTGTCACAATTAATCCAATACTCTTGTGTATTTTATTTATCGAGCACTAGAAATTTTCTACATGCATACAAATCTCTAAAAAAACGAAAAGATTGGACTTAAGGTGTTAGTAGTAATAAGATATATTTAATTAGAAGAGAAAAGAATGTAATTTGTGCTCCATTTGTAGAAAAAAGAATGTAATTTGTGCTCCATTTGTAGAATACAAAAGACAAATTAATTTAACAATTCGACCCTGATGAATGGAAATGAATGAAATTCCGAGTTGTTTTTAAGTCTTGGGTAATCCTCCTCAGTTTCAGTGTGTTTTTGAGTCCACCCCAACTAGTACGTACTCATCGATGCTCCATGTTAGTTTGATGTAGGATATATATGTATCTTAGAAGTTTAATTTGTTTCACTCATTTCTGGCTTGATATGATGGATTATGCCTCGTGGTTGCGATTCTTAACAATGTATTTATATAAATTGTTTTTTTTACCCCTTCTAGGAGTTTCCACCTTTTTGCTCCCTTGGGTGTTTACCGCCTGAACACATTCATATAAAAAAGACATATTCATAGATGCTGAACAATAAATCTAAAGTAACAATACAAATACAATACTATGAAAAGACACAATCCAAAATACTTAGGCTGAACATTTAGCCATTTATTGCTAGTATTTCAAATTTAGAAGTTGTTTTTATACCAGAAAATACCCTTTCCCTGAGTTGCTTCATCGTCTTTCTCGACGTAGATGCACTCAAAATCCCTCCATATTGCTTTGTAAAATGGAGTTCCATCAAATTGATAGTATTCTCCTAGTAATGGCCTCACAGCTTTAGTTGCCTCCATCGCGTGGTAATGTGGTATACTTGAGAATAAATGATGCACAACATGTGTATCTGTAATATTGTGGAACACCTTAGTTAGCACACCATAGTCTCTGTCTACCGTAGCTAGTGCTCCTCTTAGCCAATCCCACTCCGATGAATCATAATGTGGCAATGAAGCGTGTGTGTGGTGTAATAAAGTTATTAACACGATGAACCCGTTCACAATTAGTAAGGGCACCCCATAGATGCATACAACCCAAGTTAGCCCTTGTGTCAGAGCAACGCGATACAATACATAAATAGTTGCAATCAGACCTGCATCTGAAATGTAGATTTGTAGTCTCTCACGATCATTATATATCGGGCTATATGGATCATAATGACTTGCAAAGCGATCATAAGGTCTACCAGCTATATTGATGGCATAGTACAAAGGCAGGCCAGCAGTGAGGGTGAAGGCAATTAATAATAATCGTCCTAGTGGATTATTCACGTATAATTTGGTGTACCATCTAAGTTTGGTTTTAACCTTTGGAACATGGTTTTCATCATGCTCAAGGGAATTAGTGTTGGAGTGGTGACGACGATGACTATATTTCCATGAGAAGTATGGCGTTAAAAGTGCAGAGTGGAAGATAAAACCGACAGTGTCATTTATCCACTGGTAATCACAAAAGGCCTGATGGCCACATTCATGGGCAATGACCCATACTCCGGTGCAAACACAACCTTGAAAAATCCAGTAAATAGGCCACGCTAGGTAATAATACGGTGATGGAAGGAGGTGGAAGTAAGTGGTGGCAATATAATAAAAGACGGAGACAAGCACGAGATCTTGAACAAGGTAGGAGGAGGAGCGAATGAGAGATCGATGAAAGCAGTGAGGAGGGATAGCCTTCTTGATATCACCAACTGTAAAAGGGGGCTTTGAACTTGGCACTCTTTCGAGAGGATTTTTCTTTTGTTCTGTTGGAGCAGACATATTGCCACCGCCTCCCATTTTTGTCTTCAATCCTGAGGCTGCAACGATTAAATTTGTTGTGAGAAGTCGAAAAATAGTAAATAGAACAAGAAAATGAGAGTTTTTGGTAAAAAAGGAAATACCTTAAAAGTTCAAAACACACCTTTTAGCCTTTACCTGAAAGCCAGAGAGTTCTCTCTTCTTTATAGAAAAATAGAGGTCTGGCCAACTATTTTTTCTTTTTTAATTTACCATCTGATATTCGGAACTCGGTTTTGACTAGTCTAGATTCCCAGGCTCACTACCATCCATTTAACTTAGAAGCGTTCCTTATCAAGAATTTCTCTACTCTCATAGCTCAAACTCGAGACCTCTGATTAAGTATGGAAAAAATTTCCCCTTGCATCCTTTGGAGGTTGATTAGATCTGAAAATAAATTTGTATATACTAGTAGTAAACTAAAGAGGCCATATGTATTCTTGATGGTTCCATGTGGTTTAGATTCCTTCATTATTAAAACTTTAATAACCCCATACATACAATGATGCTATTTACTCATGATCCTACATTATTGAGCAAGCCTCCTAATCCTCTTAATATACTTCAAGTTGATTTTTCAAACGTTCACTCAACTAATGTTAATTATTGTCGTATTAACTACAAAGTCATTCAATTGATATTTTTGATGAATTTTGCTGACGTGAATTTCTTAGCAGGTCGTGTGTTGGAATGTATGTGTCCACTAGTGATCACAGGACCAGGTCCTTTAGAACTGTTATAGTGCAGGAACTAGTAAATAGCTGAAAGTAAAATGTGCACACACGATTTTTATTGCGTATGAACTGTTGAAATCCATGAACATGGCCACATTTCAACTGAACAAAACATCTCAGTGAACTGACTCAAAGGTGAAGTACTGAAGTAAGTTTTTATTGTGTATGAACTGTTGAAAAATATCCAGAAGAGAAAAATCCACACCAATATCTAGAATAACTAGCCAAGAAGCATGGTCCTATTATGTACGTGCTCACGCCTAGGACTAGCTAGTACCTGAAAATGTTGCCTCGTCTGCAGATACAATGGAGAAGTTCCTCAACACGTAGGCCTCATAACGAGACTGCTCAGTATATTGGCGAAAATTGTGCACTCTGCTCCTTTTGACTAACTATATGATCAATTCATTTTAAGGGAGATTCAAGGACAATAAATAATACAGTCTATCAAAACATTGTATTTCAATCACATAATGTAGTACAAATACAATACGGTATGAAAACAATACATAATAGAATGACAGGAAACAACAATCCTAACAAACTATAAAGAGACCTCAGTTCAAAATACTTATTGTGACTCATGTTATCCAAATCGATTTTTAATTCATCTCGTTTTTATACCAAAAAATACCTCTACCTTTAGATCTTTCATCCTTTTCTACATAGATGCACTCCTTATAATCCCTCCATAATGCCTTATAAAAAGGGGTACTATCAAATTGGTAGTATTCTCCTAGTAATGGCTTGATAGCTCTGGTTGCCTCGAGTCCGTGGTAATAGATGATGCAAAACGTGAGTATCTGTAATGTTATGGAAGACCTTATTTAGTACACCAAAGTCTCTGTCTACCGTAGCTAGAGCTCCTTTTAGCCAATCCCACTCGGATAAATCATAATGTGGCACGGAAGAGTGGGTATGGTTCAAGAGAGTGATTAACACTATGAAGATGTTCATAATTTGGAGGGGCACTCCATAGATACATACAAGCCAAGTTAGCCCTTGTGCCAAAGCAATGCGATACAACACATAAGTAGTTGCAACCACACCTGCATCTGAAATATAGATTTGTTGCCTCTCGCGATCATAATAAATCGGTCCATGTGGATGATAGTGACTTGCAAAGCGAGGATAAGGTCTGCCAGAGGCATTGAAGGTCAAGTACAAATGCCACCCAAGATTGAGGGTGGTGGCAAGTCCGAATACTCGTCCTAGTGGATTTTTGTTCAAATACTTGGTGAGCCACGTTACTTGGGATTTTAGCCTTGGCACATACACTTCATCATACTCAAGGGAACTGGTGTTGGAGTGGTGACGACGATGAGTATATTTCCATGAGAAGTATGGTGTTAAAAGTGCAGAGTGAAGGATAAAACCAACAGTGTCATCTACCCACTGGTAATCACTAAAGGCATGGTGGCCACATTCATGGCAAATAGTCCATATTCCGGTGCAAACACAACCTTGAACAATCCAGTAAGTAGGCCATGCTAGGTAACAATATGGGGATGGAAGGAGGTGGAAGTAAGTGGTGGCAATATAATAAAATACAGAGACAATGATGAAATCTTGAACAAGATATGAGAAGGAACGAACAAGAGATCGCTGAAAGCAGTGAGGAGGAATGACCTTCTTGATATCGCCAATTGTAAAAGGAGGCTTTGAAAATGACACTCCATTTTTCTTCTGTTCTGTTTTATCAGACGACATATTGTTGTCCTGCTTTTTCAATCGAAAAAAAACAACTACTACTTCAACAACTTGATATCAAATTGAAACTTTCTTTAGGAAAATACTTTTTTACAAAATTTTCTAGTCTAGAGTTTATTGAAGAAAGTAGGTACAGATTCCATATTTGTTACATATTATTGGAAGAGAAAGAAAGCAATAGAGAAAAATTTCATTCAAACTGTACATGTGCATTTATACAAAACAAAAGGAATAAATCTGTTACTATACTACCAGCTGTCCTTCTCTTATTTTGTTTCTCTCTAATTGACTAATTGTAAAATGTATAAAAATAAATAAAAAACAATTATCTACATATATAATGGAATATATCTGAAATGTTCTTTGGACAGCTGTCATGATTCCCAAATGAACGATCAAGATGAGTTTGATGAAGATAAGATCTGATTGTGATCAAAGGTTGAGATGATTTCAAGAAACAGGAAAGAGAATAAAAAATGAGAGATAATCAGACTTTGTCCATTCTCTTTGAGATCTGAATTGAGTTCACTTCCATGGTGAAACTCAATGTTGTGATCACCAACATCTGTCATGAAATAATTACTAAGTCATCTTTACCCATCCTGTCTATATTCAAGATAATAAAATTTGACATTATTATAACTTTGTCTAGTTGTTTCATTTGTAGAGTCCCCATACTGTTGTTTATTGATTAGATTTTGGTGGTTGGCCACTGCTGGGCAAGCCAGACAATGTTGAAATGTTTTCTTCCTATGCGTAATTAATAAAATCCGCCCTATGGGTCATATTAAACCACACACACAAAAAAAAGGTAATACAATAGCTTTTGATCTTTATAATCATATGATTATATTGAAGATAAACATTAAATTTGCGCTTAACAAAACCTTGTTAGGAGACCACAATACATTCCCTCAACTAGCGTGGGACTTCGTATTCCCACACACACTCGATCAGGACATGAAACTAGAGTGTGGATAACATAACATAGATGCATGTTTCAACATTACGAAATACTGTAACAAGAATCAGTGGGTCTGGCTCTGATACTGTTATGAACTAGTCTCAGCCCAATGTTAATACCTACACGGATGTCACACAACTAGTTATTGGGACCCAGAGAAATCGACTCTTATTACTTGATTGCGATGTGAGAGACTAAGAACTAAAAATTCGTCATCTCACAGAACTGACTCAAAGGTGAAGTAAGTTTTTATTGTGTATGAACTGTTGAACAACTAAAATTGTGCACTCTGCACCTTTTGACCAACTAAAAGATCAATTCAATTTAAGAGGGATTCAAGGACAATAAATAAATAATATGGTCTATCAAAACACTGTATGTCAACCACATTATGTAGTACAAATACAATACGTTATGAGAACGATACATAATAAAATGATAGGAAACAACACCTAAATTCAAAATATGTATTGTGACTCATGCTTAACATTTAACCAAATCGATTTTTAATTCATCTTGTTTTTATACCAAAAAATACCTCTATCTTTAGATCTTTCATCCTTTTCCACATAGATGCACTCCTTATAATCCCTCCATAATACCTTATAAACAGGGGTACTATCAAATTGGTAGTAATTTCCTAGTACTGGCTTGATAGCCTTGGTTGCCTCGAGTGCATGGTAATGTGACACCGTTGAGAATAGATGATGCAAAACATGAGTATCTGTAATGTGGTGGAAGACCTTATTTAGTACACCAAAGTATCTATCTACCGTAGCTAGAGCTCCTCTTAACCAATCCGACTCGGACGAATAATAATGTGGTACTGAAGAGTGAGTGCGGTGCAAAAAAGTTATTAACACTATGAAAATGTTCATAATTTGGAGGGGCACTCCATAGACACATACGAGCCAAGTTAGTCCTTTTGCCAAAGCAACGCGTTACAACACATAAGTTGTTGTAATCACACCTGTATCTGAAATATATATAGATTTGTAGCCTCTCACGATCATTATAAATCGGTCCATATTGTGGATGATAGTGACTTGCAAAGCGACGATAAGGTTTGCTAGAGGCATTGAAGATCAAGTACAAAGGCCACCCAAGATTGAGGGTGGTGGCATGTCCGAATACTCGTCCTAGTAGTGTATTTTTGTTCAAATACTTGGTGAGCCACGTTACTTGGGATTTAAGCCTGGGCACATACACTTCATCATGCTCAAGGGAACTAGTGTTGGATTGGTGACGACGATGAGTATATTTCCATGAGAAACATGGTGTTAAATGTGCAGAGTGGAGGATAATATCAGTAGTGTCATTTATTCACTGAAGGCCTGGTGGCAATCATCCATATTCCAGTGAAAACAGAACCTTGAGCAATCCAGTAAAGAGGCCATGTGCTAGGTAACAAGATGGAGACGGAAGTAAGTGGTGGCAATATATATTGTTATCAGACGACACCCGATTTTTCTTTTATTCTGTTTTATCAGACGACATATCGTTGTCCTATCCTGAAATGTGCAACAATAGAGACTTCGAAAAATAGAAATTTTCTGCATACCTTCTTTACAAAATTGCAAAGTCTAAGAGTTTTTTAAGAAACGAAGTACAGATTTTGAGATAATTAAATACTTAATTTTCTATTGACACCACAAGATTAGTCATATATCTTTGAAACATTACTCTTAACAGATCACAAAAGAATATTTAAACTTACTTTCTCAATTATGGAATCTTTTGTTCAGATCAAAGTCTCTACTTACTTTCTTAAATAACTCTAATCTTGTCAGTTTGCATTCAATGTTTGGTTACAATTTTCAATTCCAACGTGGTTAATACATATAATATAAATGATTATAATCTCTATATTAGTATATCCTATTGATTTAATGTGTATAATAAGGTAATCTATATTAATTACTCACTTTGTCTCAGTTTATGTGAGTCGCGGGGTATCTAGATGTGCATACTCAAAGACCAATGTATGTCTTTTGCCTCTAAAAATGCCGCATCACATTTTTCTTTTGGAAATTCAAGATTTTGTTTGAACTTGAAATTTGCATTGGTAGTACAATATCTTTTGATTTGAATAATCATGATTATATTTTAATAACTAGAATATTACATGGGGGTTTCAACATTACGAAACACAGCAACATGAATCGGCTCTGATGCTGGTATGACCTAGTCTCGGCCCAATGTTGATACCTACACGAACATGATATCATGAACGCAACTAGTTATTAGGCCAAGAAGAAGCAATAAAACTGGAAGGCTTTCATAAAAGGTTGATCTGGGACTCAGGTCCACTTGACAACTAGCTAAAAGGACGACGGATGAGAAAGAATGGTTTATGCCAATTGTTAGGAAGGGTCTATATTCCCTTTGTCTCCTTTCCGAGTTGTCTTTGGCTTATCTCTTTCTAGTTCTTACTATCCTTTAATTTATCCTACTGTGTAATTGGAATATATCTATGAGTATCTACTGAGAATTTGTTCATTACATCATATGTGAAGATACGACCATTGGATCTAAGTCAACTCATAAATGGAAAAATTGTCCGAAATCATGTAAAGAGACGCTATGACCCATACTTCCCTCAACCAATATGGAACTTATTTTAACAGTCTTAAGATACATTTCACTTTGAGAATTGAACAAAAAGAAATACATGTCGACAAATTATGAGATTCAACGTTTTCATATCTTCATGAGCTAATTTTAGAGTGACGAGAAAATTGGAACACCTGTTAAGGTTGCTCCAGCATCGACGATGAAAACATTGCCTGATATATATTCTGAAGAATCATGGATTAAGTACCTAACGGTTGATGTTAAAGCCGGATCTGTCGTTCCAAGAGTTCTCAGAGGAACGGTTCTTACAATAACATTATTGATCCCTTCTTTTTCCATAAGACTCTTTGTTATCTCGGATTTGAAAATTCCTGGTGATATTGAGTTCACTCTGATATTGTCTACTCCCAACTCAAGGGCCATCATCTGCCATTCAATTACTTGAATTATTAACTTACCCTAACATAGAAGTAAACAATGGAAAAAAAATAAAAAAATCTCTATCTAGCTACCTTAGTGACCATGTCAAGAGCCATCTTCGAAGAACTGTAAGCAAGACCCCCAGGTATTAGTACTCGATTTAAACCAGCAACTGAAGAGATATTAATAACAGAGCCTCCATCCTGTTTAGAATCACGCATATGTCTACATACATATTTCGACACCAACCACGCCCCTCTTAGATTCGTCTTATAGGTATGTTCCCATTCCTCTTCTGGCAAATCCAATGAATTGTACACATTACCTATGTAAATATATTAAAATACAACCAAAAAAAAAAAGAAAGTTAGAATGAACTTGGTAACAAATTAAGAAACTAATTTACATAATAAATTTTCAGATTACCTCTAAGGCCTGCGTTGTTAATCAAGACATCAATACGTCCGAAGGCATCCCAAGCTATTTGTACAGCAGCCTCAATAGTAGCATTATCAGCAGTGATGTCGAGCTGGACAGCAATTGCACGCCGAGCCAGACCCTCTGAATTATTAATCTGGTTGCAGAGAGTTTTCAGCCTGTCAACACGACGAGCAGAAGCAATGATCCTGCATCCGGCTTTTACCAAGTCGAGACAGAACTCTTGCCCGATTCCCGAGGAGGCCCCAGTCACCATCACTACTTTTCCAGTCAGGTCTTTCCATGGCTCCATAGAAAAACTTGTGGTAGAGAAGATTGAGAGCCAGTTGTTGTTTTATGCAATAGCTAAGTAGTCTATCTCTCTCTTTTCTGTTCTCTCTGTGTGTCTTGTGAGATTGATGAAGAGCCTACTTATATTCTATTCCAACAAAAGTAACCAGAACTCTCGCGAACCTTGAAAATTAAGAAATTCCTGATATGGAGGAGCACTACCTTCTTTAATGGGCGCTCCTATGTAACACGAATCTGAATTAGTTTGAGTATCGAATTAACAGAAAGTAAGTACTAAGCCTTTTAATAATGAAAAAATGGAATTTAAAGCTCGCATGGACAGTACAGAAGTGCATTGAACCTTCAGGCTTTAAGCATATGGTCTGTTTTTTTGTTCAATCAGATCTATCTAAGGGTGTGTTTGGTATGAAGGAAAATGTTTTCCTCGACAACAAGTAAATTTTTTACTTATTTTCTCATGTTTGATTGGTGAGTAGAAAATATTTTCCGAAAAAGATTTTTTAGTGTTTGATTTATGAATGAAAATTATTTTTGAGAAAATATCTCTTTTTTTTACTAGAGAGTAGAAAATAATTTTTGAATTGAAATTGAATTTTTTTTTAAAAAAAAAACTTAATTTTTTTTGGGAGGGGGGAGGGGGTGGGTAGGGGTGATGGTGTAAAAAAATAAATATTTGAAATTAAATTTTTTTTAAAAAAATAAACTTAATTTTTTTTTGTGGGGTGGGGTGAAAAAATAAAATTTTGAAATTGAAAATATTTTTTAAAAATAACTTTTTTTTTGGGGGGGGGGGGGGGTAACCCCGGGGGTAAAAGAAAAAAATTTGAAAGTGGAAATATTTTTTAAAAACAAAATTTATTTTATTTGGGGGGGGTGGTAGTGGGGGTGGCCGGGGGAGGGGTGGGTGAAAAACAAAAATTTGAAATTGAAAGTTTTTTTTATAAAACAAACTTTAAATTTATTATTATTTTGGGTGGGTGGGTGGGTGGGTGGGTGGGTGGGGGGGGTCGAGGGTAGGGATGGGATGAAAATTGAAGTTGAAAAATGCTTTTTAAAAATAAGCTTTAAATTTATTTTTTCAACAAAAAAAATTGTAAGTTGAAGTTGGAGGAAAGTTTTGGAAAATGGTTTCCTTAAGTTTTGAAGGAAAGTCATTTTCTTTGAATTTGAGGAAAATAAGTTGATTTGGAAAACATTTTACCCAACCAAACATGAGAAAATTGGAAAAACATTTTCCTTTCATACCAAACACACCCTAAATGTGTGCTTACTTTCTTAAATAACTCTAGCATTGTCAGGATCAGTCATTAATGAACATAAAATTGGACAAAATAAGTTTTTTTTTTTCCCTTTTATGAGGGACGGAATTACAAGGTACATTAAGGAGTGATGGGAAATTACAATCGAAACAAACATTACTTAAAGTAAGTAGATTCTTGTATTCATTTTTTAGAGCTTGTTTTTAAACCAAAAAACACCATTATCTTGGCGTCCTTCATCTTTCTCCACATAAATGCACTCCCTTGACTCCCACCACAATGCACTCCCTGGCCAACTTTTTTTTCTTTTTTAATTTACCATCTGATATTCGAAACTCGGTTTTGACTAGTCTAGATTCCCAGGCTCACTACCATCCATTTAACTTAGAACCGTTCCTTATCAAGAATTTCTCTATTCTCATAGCTCAAACTCGAGACCTCTGATTAATTATGGAAAAAATTCCCCTTGCATCCTTTGGAGGTTGATTAGATCTGAAAATAAATTTGTATATACTAGTAGTAAACTAAAGAGGCCATATGTATTCTTGATGGCTCCAATGTGGCACGGAAGAGTGAGTATGGTTCAAGAGAGTGATTAACACTATGAAGTTGTTCATAATTTGGAGGGGCACCCCATAGATACATACAAGCCAAGTTAGCCTTGTGCCAAAGCAATGCAATACAACACATAAGTAGTTGATATAACACCTGCATCTGAAATATAGATTTGTAGCCTCTCGCGATCATAATAGCTCGGTCCATGTGGATGATAGTGACTTGCAAAGCGAGGATAAGGTCTGCCAGAGGCATTGAAGATCAAGTACAAATGCCACCCAAGATTGAGGGTGGCGGCAAGTCCGAATACTCGTCCTAGTGGATTTTTGTTCAAATACTTGGTGAGCCACGTTACTTGGGATTTAGCCTTGGCACATACACTTCATCATACTCAAGGGAACTAGTGTTGGAGTGGCGACGACGATGAGTTTATTTCCATGAGAAGTACGGCGTTAAAAGTGCAGAGTGGAGGATAAGACCAATAGTGTCATTTATCCAGGGGTAATCACTGAAGGCCTGGTGGCCTAATTCATGGCCAATCATCCATATTCCAGTGAAAACACAGCCTTGAGCAATTCAGTAAATAGGCCATGCTAGGTAACAAAATGGAGACTGTAAGTAGGTGGTGGCAATTTTTGAACCATTCTTTTCCATAAGACTCTTTGTTATTGCAGAGTAGAAAATTCCTGGTGATATTGAGTTCACTCTGATATTGTCTATTCCTCTAAGAACTCTTGGAACGATAGATCCAGCTTTAGCATCAGTCGTTAGGTACTTAATCCATGATTACTCAGAATATGTAATCTGGCAATGTTTTCATTGTTGATGCTGGAGCTACCTTACCAACTGTTCCAATTTTCTCATCTCTCTAAGATTAGCTCATGAAGACGTAGAATTTTATCTGATCGTTTAGCTTATTGAGAAATATACAATATGATCAAGAAATGGATATGTACGTTGGAGAAAAAAAATGTTTGTTTTGTTACATTATAGAGTGCCAGTTAGCGTTAATTTCTCAAGGTTACCGAGTATTTTTCTAGGAGAATTCAGTCATGAAAGACTATAGAAATTAACAGGCATATCACCACCTTACAGAACTTATAGTAATATATCTGCTTGCACAGCTTAAAATGATTACTTATAAACAGGACATTTTCCCAAAAGAGAGATGGATCAGTTTAATACATATACATGAAAACATACTATTTACCCAAAAAGAAATATTGACCAGTTTCCAGAGCTGATAATATACAAAAACACGCCATTTTACCTACTTCATGTGCAGATCGTTTCATGTATCGCTTCACCTCACAGCCAGATATTGCACAAAACGACAGCTTGGGACATCTACTCCATAGCAGTTGTTCATTTCAGTCATATAGTTAGAGGTGAAGCATATCGGTGTTCATTCCCTATTTGGCGTTAGCTCTGCTCCTTCTGGCACTAAAGTTTGCATCATCTGTGCGCAGTTAAACATGGTCAGCATACAACATCCAAGTGAAAGGAAAGACAGTTCAACAAAAAATACAAAAAATGATACGATACCTTCCAATCATTGTAATCATATCTCAAGATAAACTGGTGGCGTACAGCTCCACGATGTGTAATGCTCCGCGGAACTGGAGAATTGATTCATCATATTACAATTCAGAAAGGAATAAAAGCGAACAGATAAAATAAAGTTCAATGATCATATATGTGAAATAACTCGTGATATGCTTTTGGTTTTAATGTCATAGTATAATTTCTCATCCAGAATGGCAGAGTGAATTTACCTATCTTGCAAGCGAAACGAGAACCAGTTTCATCAGCGGAGATTGAAGCCTGCCCATTGTGTACTAAAAAAGAAAGTGCAAACAAATTCTCGACAGTATGAGCAAAGGAATTTCTCATTAGAAAGAGTTCGTCAAGCATGACACTTTTCTTCTCCTTTAAGAGCTCCGATATGTTTGACATATTCTTGCTAACATCAAATTTGTCCTCGACAGTTTCACCAGCAACCTATCAAAAAGACTCGGAAAATGGAAGATCATTTATCAACCAAACAACGTAAAAAGAGTGGCAAACACAGTCGATGGCCTCGGCTTTAGTTTTCTTCAAAATGCATATGGAAGCTGCAATCTCAAAAGATTGCATAGGGGAAATGACCATACCAATTGTGGCCGAGTAAGGTAGACCTTTCTCGGAGGCAATCTCCTGTAAACCACAATCTCTTTTGGATAAGAATGATAAACTACAAGCTGATTCTTTGGCTTAAATTCAGTTTTCAGAACTCCAAGCCTGAGAACGAGCCGAAAGCACTCAACAGATTAAACATAATTACATTATTTTTTATTTGTTCTCTTCAAATTCACTATTAAAGAAATGAAAATCTTACATTGTCTTGCAACCTTTGCCTTCCATAAACACGAGTGAAGCATCAGCTCCAATCTTTTCCCAATTCACAGTTTTTAGTGACTTCCCAATGATGAAATGTTCCATTGCATTCTTTGAACGTCCTTTTCGTAAACCATAGACTTGAAGCAACCAAGAGATGAATATAGAAGGTGAGATACTACAATTGGGACGTAATTGGAGAGATTCCACAACAGTTTTGGTAAGTCCAAGCAAGGCCTCTGCATCCGCCACTTGCTCTCTTGGCCTTTTAACTGGAAAACCATACATTATAAAGTATACCAAGAGAGAGAAGCAGGGGAAAATACATAACAATTTGTTGCAGCAATTTCACGTGGCCATTGATATTGAGATAACACATTATGAAATCACATTTATAGCTTAGTGAGTCAAGAGTAAAGTTAATCACACCTTGGAGAGTAGTACTTCAAGCAACAAACCAAAAATTGTAACTTATCGAAGAAAAGAAATCATAGCCTATTTTGGAACAACATCAAGAGTAGGATAATGAAAATGAGACGATACACATTGTTCTTTAGATATACATACAAGGAAAAAGACTTTTCACAAAGCAATGTCAGGTGATACCCCTTTCTAAATTATGCCACAAGAAAGAAGCAAATAGGAGGTATCCAAACACATAAAAGACCATGTTTGTTCCCTCTGTCATAATTCACATGATGCATGATCTTTTTTTACTTTTTCTCAAGAAAACCAACCTCTTTCAATATAGTTTAGAAAGAATTTAACTTTAAACTTCCAAATATCAATGGCTTGTTCCTAAACCAAAAGTTC